AATTATACTCTTGATATTTGGGCTGTGTTGATAATTTCTTGACTATGTGTTGTTGATTTCTGGTTGCAATATATCTTGTTTTTGCAGTGCTGGTGGGTTCCATTGGCTTCTCGGAAGTTTTTACATTTGAAAATATGGCCTAAAAACAAAGACCTTAGATTTGAATTTTGCCCGAGAGTTGAGCCTTTAATCGCTTTTACTTTTTTTTTTTTATTTTTTTTTTTTTTGATTCCATATGCATCTCATTCACTCCAGCCAAATATTTATATTATAAATCTTTCAACCACAAGCGAAGATATATTCAAATTAACAAGAAGCTCAAACAATTTAATGGATGCTCAAAGCTTGCTTTTTGGGTCTCGTTCAAACTCAAGCAGTCCATCAATTCAAAACCTTAAAGCATCATTCTTTTCAACATTACCCAATTATTTTTCTCCATCACCATCTTCAAGTATTCAATCTTCAAGACTGGCCTCCTTCAAAATCCATCATTCTGTTGCTTCGCATCTTGTAATATCCAAGAAATCACTTCAGTGCCAAAGTAGGGTTGAAAAAGTAGAGAATGTTCCTGATTTTGACAAAGATTTGGGAAAAAGAAGTAAAAGGAAAAAGTTGGCTGTTTTTGTTTCTGGAGGAGGTTCGAATTTCCGGTCAATATATGAGGCAACTGTTAGAGGGTCAGTTCATGGAGACATTGTTGTTTTGGTGACAAACAAACAAGGTATTTTTTATTTAGTATTTATTTCCTTTCTTTAAATTTTAATTTTGTTGTTTGTGTGCTTGCTTCACAGAAGTTCTCAACTTTATTGATCTAAATTTGTATTCAGTTGCCTGCTAACTTTTGAGTTGTAGCTATGTAAAAGTTAAGCCTTTATAAATGTGATTAAAAGAGCATGTCTATTTTTATGTTACCGAAGGATCGTATTGTTCTAATTTTTGTACAGGTATCTGAGTATGTATACATGTTTGTAAATAACACGTGTTGTGTATGTATATAAATCTGATGAGCAAAATGATAAAGTTACATAGTATATATTGAAATATAAATAATTAAGTTAGACCATCTCCAACAACTTACGCTTTTGGTGTAGATGTTTAACATAGTATCAAAGAAGGAGGTCTTGTATTCGAATCTTGCCATCACCCAAATTATTAAAAGATTTTCAAATTCTAGGCATAACGTGAGGGGCAGTGTTGAAGTATAAATACTTAGGTGACACTCTCTCCAACAACTTAAGCTTTTGGAATAAATGATTGTTTAACAAAATACTTAGTGTATCATGTAATAATTATGTTGTTTGTGATTCGAATATTTCAATGTTCTAATATTCTTTCGTTGGGATTGTTGCCTCACTGATTAAACTTTGTTTTTCATATCCCATGCTTTTGGGGGTAAATAAGTGGTGGTTAGTCTATTGGGTTTTTCAAGGCCGGCTCAAATATTTCAGTGATTTCAGAATGATTCTCGAGCTGGGCCCAGTTTTCTTCTAAGTTGTCCAGCGAGCTTCCAACAAAGCCAATCATGAGCCCAACCTGAGTGGCTTGGTTTACTTATATAGTCTACAAGGCCTAATTGCTTATAGAAGAAAGCTCAATAATCGAATGATCTTTAAATATGTGCTCAAGATTGGCTTTTTTACCTTCCGAGTCAATGTTGTGTGAGCCTCAAACCGACTGAGCATGGCAGTTGGTTTATTTTTCATAGCCCTACCCATGCTTTGATGCTAACATCACAAATCTTGGTCATTTGCTCTGATGTTTTGACTTGGAGTTTGTAAATTGTTAGCCCTGCTTTTCATTCAACTAGGCAACTGTTTGATAGGGTTTAGCTTTATGTTTTTTTTAGCTTGACACTGCATACTTCTACAAGAAAGCAAATGAGGCTCTGCACTGTAAATAAAAGCTAGCTGTAAGCCTGTAACTAGTAACAATAGCTATCTTGCCCAGGCTTTTGGTCTTTGGGTCTAATTGCGCCTATAATTATGTCTTGAGATTTTAGACCCTTCAAAAATTTTCTGCATTGTCATTTGTTAAAATTTTCAGCCATTTCTCATTTTGCTTTTTTCAGAAAGTATCCATCTCTAATTTTTCATTTTGAGACAATTAATATGTCTCTTCTATCCTTTTACATCACAAGAAACTCTATACAGTTTTTTTCATTCGTTTCTAAAGCTTGTGTGCTTTGAGTTTTCCTTTAGTTAAGAACTGTCCCACACATGGACCTAAAGTTGAAATACATATTTATCTTTTCTTGCTATGGTATTTGGGGGTATTTTTTATTTCTGTTGATAGCAAATGAGATTAGATTTAGTATTCAGAGCTATGACAGCATATACATTAAAACAATGAATTTGTGAGAGAGAGGTTATGTAGCAATTATTATTCAACTAGATGTTTGTAAATTTTCAACTGTTCAGACATGTACTTGTTTAATTGAGTTTGTTTCTTACAATAACAAACAATCCAGTATAGAAATGCACATTGATAGGTTTGTTGGAGGTTCTGCATTAAGCTGAAAAGGAGAATTGGGATTAATAAAGTGATAAATTTTAAAAAAAAAAGGTCACTATATATATTTATCATTGATGACAAAAAAGACTTAACTCTGAAGCATCATCACATCTTCTTCTTCTTCTTTGAGGAATTCGTAGCACTTAAGCCTTAGGTCCAACCTTACATTCTGCAAACATGTCACTGCTGCAAAACAAAACATGTTAAGTGCATAGTTTTTTTATATTTACCTTGCTTGAGCTGTTGTTTGACTTATGCCTTCATTAATTTCTCCTTTATCCTCTCCACTACAGGCTGTGGAGGTGCGGAGTATGCAAGATATAAGGACATTCCTGTCATTTTGTTTCCTAAGACAAAAGATGAACCTGAAAGTCTGTCTGTAAATGACCTTGTAACCACTCTTAGGTCAGGTTCTTCTGAAACTACTTATTTTAATTATCTTTCCCTTCCTAATCAGCATTGCTGTTGTAAAAGATCTTCTATGCACATACACGCACGCATATAGAAGTGTAGTTTATAGTGGGAATATTTAACTACTATGACTAACACCACCGCATCTCTTGCATACTCCAAGATTGGTATATCAAATTTTTAGGTCCAAATAGCATTAGTCAATAATAAATAGAGTCAACGGTGGCAGGGAATGTACTCCTCCGATGCTTGATAAAAAAAAAACTTAGATGGATTTGAACACAGTTTCTTACAAAAAGACCTCGTGTAGCCAGTTTATTAACCGTATCAATGTGAATAGGTTTACCAAGAGTTTTTCTTGTTTGGAGAAGTACTCAATAGGGCACCTTACGTCCTTGGTTATCAGCTAACCTATTCTTTTTTCTGCTACTTCTGTTTTTACTTTTCCTGTGATGTGTGTTTTTGAACAGGAGATTTGAGGTTGATTTTATTCTTCTAGCTGGATACTTGAAACTTATACCTGATGAGTTGATCCGAGCTTATCCAAATTCCATCTTAAATATTCATCCCTCACTTCTACCAGCTTTCGGAGGCAAGGGTTATTATGGTATGAAGGTGCATAAAGCAGTCATTGCTTCTGGAGCAAGGTATTTTCAATTATGTTTTGTTAACTTTTCTTTTGTTTGTGTTATTATACCTTCATTTGAACTTTGTGTGCTATTCACCTACACCTACTCTACCATCTTCACTTGTCTTCTTGTCAGATTAGCAACATTATTTGTTAAAATAGATTTGAGCTTCTAAACTAGGCTCGCAAGTTGTTCAAACCAAGTTACTTACCGAAAAAAAAGTTGTTCAAACCAATCTGTGAATGTGGATAAATTTGGAAGTTGCTCTATAATCACACTTCATTGGTGGGGCACAAACATGCTGACCCAAGCTGAAACTACACTTTTCAGCCTAGGTTGACTAAAGTTGAGCTTGAGTTTGGACTGTGGTTACGCAAACTTTTTTTTTTATAATTGGCCTATCTTTTTTATGGCATGTATCAGGCTCACTAGCCATACTATCTACAACATGCATTTTTTACGTCTTTTCAACAAAAATGACTAGTGGTTGAGAAAGAAAAATGATTTTCAGGAAACTTTTTCAGTTCCTAAAATTCAAATACCTTTCTCATATCTGCTCCTATGATTGACCGTCGTCCATGTCCACCTCAGTTTGCTCGAGCTTGTCACGAATGGCACACCCAAACCCCATCTCAAGATTTAAAATAGAAAATTTGTGATCTTGATGGAATATTCCTTGATTTAAATGCCTATCAAACAAAAACCGGACAGGATATCACAACCATGACCCTAAGTTATCTCTCTCTCTGCTTCCCACCACCACCCCCCCCCCCCCCCCCCCCCCAAAAAAAAAAAAAAAAAAGAGGGTGCTATTTTAAACAAACATCCTACTGCTGGAAATAAGAAACATTTTAATATTATGGCGGAGATAATATTCAATAAAAAAAAATATAACAGTATGACCATCTTTATATCTACTGCCTTCAGGTTGGGGATTGACTGAGAAAAAAAAATATAACAGTATGACCAATCTTTATATCTACTGCCGGGTTCAGGTTGGCTCGGATTGACTGAGACCCCTGTCCAAGACCAAACCACATTCAGCTTTTGTGGTTGTTTTCCAATTCGTGACGGGACTGGATTTGAAAGGACATTCCCAAGCCCCAAAAAAATATGGGTTGGGTTCAGATAGGTGCATGTTCAAATTGCTCCAAGTTGCAGTCCAAATAAATAAGTGTTATTTATGGGTTCCATAGGTATTTTTACTGTTATGTGAGTGAATGGTTGCATGATTGTAGCTATTGGAATAAATGCGAAAGAGGAGTAAAAAGTGTATATGGGTTTACAAATCAATTGAATTATCTATAACCTTTGGCATTACGAATTACTTTTCTCAGTTCCTCCACCTAATGAATTTTATTCGATCTCTAGAGGTCAAAATTGATATCTTGCTTAAATGCCTGTTACGCTATAAACTTTTTGCTGTTTTAGAAATAATCTCCCATTAACATGTTTCTTTTTTCTTAATCTTTGCTACTTTTGGGTTTTCACTGAGTTCAGAATTTTCAGTGAAAAACCAATGCGTTTCCAGTTTTAAATATAGCACGTGAAGGCAGCTTCTCTTTCTTTGTTCATTTGTTGTTTGGATAGGTACTCAGGTCCTACTATCCATTTTGTTGATGAGCACTATGATACGGGGCGCATCCTTGCTCAAAGAGTTGTTCCTGTGCTTGCCAGCGATACTGCAGAAGAGCTGGCCGCAAGAGTTCTTTGTGAGGTCTGAAATTTTATTTTAAATTTTTTTCCTTACCAGTCGATGTATTTACAGCATTTGCAAAGTAATAGTCATTGTGAATTATTAAAAAACCAGAAAAGTTAAGGGACAAAGGAAAAGAGAAATAATGGGACTGTAAGAATTACCTGATGATGAAATTTGGCTTTGGTCGTGCTATTTGCACTCCACAAACATCCTCGTGTGCTCCACTTTGCTTTTATGTAAATGAAGTACCAAAAGTACACTTTACAAGCATTGACCACTCCTACTCTGATATCCCCTTCTCTTGCCTCTACTCCTCTCCCTACTACTGTAAGGAAACACAAGATGCAAGGAAATTAAACGATTAGAAGATTAGGGAGTGTGTTTTGAGGACACTGGGGGTGTTGTTGACGATGGAGAGACTTCAGAGACCTAATCGGCATTGATGAAGTTCTGATTTGGGTCTGGGATTGGTGAATCATTTCTGAGGAGGTTCAAGAAGAAGTCGTCAAGTTGTTGGAAGAATTTGAACTGCCAACACGTTTGGGTGGTAATTAAGGTGGTCTTGGTGTCCCTGATCCCGAAGTTGCTTGTTGTTTATTTGATCTATAACCTGGTGATGGTTGGGCATTCATTGTTGTTTAAGATATGTTAAATTTGAAGCATCTCATGAACGTGTTATTACGGTGGTTAAAACAGCAGAATTTGTTGTCCAAAAATTCTTGGACGCGCTGTTTGGTGTGAGCTTGTTTTTCAAGCATATTTTAAGGATATCGGTGGCACTGTTGCTTGAACCTGGTCATATATATCAGATTTTCTCAAGCTCATATTACTTGGTGTGCCGTTTCAGAACTTTGGTTTGGCAACTTAGTCTGAAACAGATTTTAGTTTAGCTCAATTTGTCTTGTGCTTGATGAACCGAATGTGGAACAGGATGAAGCTGGTTGGAGACAGGGTGGTCGAGAGAGGAGGGGATATCACAGTCTGTGTGGTGAATCCTGTTTTAAGTGAACTTTGGAAGTACAATTTCATTGTCATGTTCTCTGGTTTATTTTTAGTGACACCTTGAATTTCCTGCAGGAGCATCAATTATTTGTGGAAGTGGCAGAAGCAGTATGCGATGATCGGATAATTTGGAGGGAAGATGGCGTCCCTATGATCCAGAGCAAAGAAAACCCTAATGACTATAGCTAGCAGGATTGTCTGGACTTTGTATTGAGCAAAGATGGTCTTTCTTGTTTGGGTGTCTTTAACTATTTATATAGAGTACCTTTTGCCTCACGGAGCATGTCTTTTAACAAACTGGACCTATGTTGGTCAGTTTTAGAGTTTAAGGGAATATTTGGCGTAAGTCTGGACACTCGGTAAAAAAAAAAAAAAAAAAGAGAGTACTGTGGAGATTGTAATTTTTGTTATTTTAAAGTCACACCCTAGCCCTAGATCAAGCAATCAAGCAATTTTCACTTTCCACAATCCACCATGTAACAAGGAAATTTTAACCTCCCTAGGCAAAAAGGCAAAAGTTATAGTTTTTATGAGACCGAATATGAAAATGTTATTTAGATCAAATTTAAGAATTTAATTAATTATAATTGTTAAATTAAAAATACATTTTATCTAATTTTAAAATAAATTAATTTAATAATTACGATGATTTAACTCCCCGGTCATTTAAAATTACTCGGCCTACCCAACACGATGATATTACAATTCTCAGATCTCCAGAATGTGCCAGCTGTAAGTAAATGAGATACGTTGGATTGCTATCTCTATCTCTGAACGGCTGAGATTTGATTTTTCTCACTCCACTCAACTTCCCCCGACGATATATATATATAACCGGCTGCCATACTTAGGGTTAGGGCTTCTTTCTCCATATTCCATGGCTTTTTCCAGTGTCAATCAGCTCTTCTCTTTCTTGCTTTTCTCATCCCTTCATCTGTTATACGGATGCAATGGCCTCTGAGCTTCATTTTTTTTACTTTTGTTGATTTTATGTAGAACGCTACATTGTACCAAGGTAAGGGTGTGGCTCTTACCCCTTGATCTTGAATTGCCGAATCGGCTGTAGCTATATCGATCCAATGGCTGAGAAGTTAACTGGCCGGTTGTTGTTTTTCAGATTCCTCGGGAATCTCCGTCGACATATCTGCTTACCGAACTTCTCACATTTTTTTTTTTTTATCTATTTTTCTTTTTCTGCATCAATCTTCGTATTAATTGATTTCTCTGTGTCATGTGTGCATGTAATATATACATATAAGTCTTTGTAAATTTGATGCAAATTCGACTAAATACGATTATAAATGGATGGATTGATAAGTCCCTGACCTCTTTTGTCTACACAATAGATGTGTTTCTGTGCATAAATATTTTGAGTATGAGAAGGGGGAAAGAGGGAAAAGAGGGAAATGGCATAGGATTTAGCCGTTTTCAGAGACCTTTCTCGTATATCAACTGAAGTGTCACCTTCCAGGCATTCTGCTTTGATTCTCCAGCAGTTTGCGTCTAAAGGTGATAACAGTTCATATACACAATTTTTTTTTTTTGTATCGCATTGAAAGTTATGGTTCAATCGGAATTTATTTTCAAGATTATATGTAACTAAAAGCTTTCTGTTTGAGTTGTAGTCTAATCTGATTGATTATTGCTTGGAATAATTGAGTTCTAAAATTGGAGTTTAAGAAAAGTAGGAGAAACGCAAGAAGTCCCATTCGAAGGGTAAATGTATTTCGAATCATGGATTTATCTCTATTTTTCCTCTCAATCCCCCTGGATGGTCGACCGGAGTAGACTCTGGCTCTCGGGGTTAGGGATTTGAGCTTTAGTACATTTGGGACTCGGTAGGGTGTTTCACGATCCTCGATTACCAGAGTTTATTTCCAAGTTTTTACGTAACTTCAAGATAATACGTGTGTATATATATATGTGTGTGTGTGTGTAAATATATACGTGTATATGTGTGTGTGTGTGAATATATATAAATATGTGTGTATATATATATAATTTCAAAATTCAAATGATACACAAATATCAACTATGTATACATTATTTATGATAGGGATAATTATGGAATATATTTTAGAAAGAATTTAAAAATGTTTTAAAATGTATACTTATTGACAACTATTTAATGAAAAAGATGAAGTATAAGTTTGGAGGTGGTACTTAAAATCAACTAAATTTTAAAAAAGATACTCATATCTCATTATCTCTAACTATTAAATACTAATTAGTCCGATAATAGATGAGTTTGGCATGAATAAAAATTAATATTTTTTAAAATCTTTAATCTAAACAATCTCTATTATCCAAACACACCTTTAGATAGAGGCGGGGACCAAAAAGGACGACCTTATCCAACAAATAAGTCTTAAAAATGCTAATTTATACATTTAAATTAGAAAAAAGCAATGGAAGACGCCAGTGACGCTGTGACCTGAATTTTCTAGCCGTTCATAATTTCTCATTGCAGCCCAAAAATAGAAGCACTAATCTTGTAAACTAAAGAATGCTGGAGCCATTCAAGACCATAGCCAAATTACCCACTGTCAAGCCAACCTTAGAAGCATAATCTTCTCTGCAGTAGTAAGAAATTGGAGGCACAGCAACAAATCCAACCAATTTTTTTCCGGTCAAGTCACCATGGGAACAATCAGAACCCTTTCTTGCGGGTATTTCTTTGATCGTACGCTTGTAAGAACTGAACCACCTAGCCTGCAAGTAGCCATGTCTCCTCCAAGGTGGTACATGCATGTCCATTGTTTTCATAGACTTCTTGATAGCGTTGCACATTAATCTCACAACCTGCTTGAGCTCATCTATTTTACCCACAAAAACTAGAGGAAAGAAGTTCAGTAACGAAGTGTAATGGTCTGTTGGCCGGGCAATTTTGAATTCTCCGGCTAGAAAGACTTCAACGATGTATCGAGTTCCGGCAACGTTGACGTCAATGTACTCATAATTCCCAGATGGATATCGTCCAGTTTTCTCCCACTTTGATTTGCAAAGACCTGTGGAATCAAGGGTCAAAGATGTTACAAAATAGTGAGGCACAGCAAACACTATGCGATTGATTACACTGTGATAAAATTATTTCAGTATTCTATCAGAATTTACAAATATTTTTTTTGGTTAAGTTAAAATTCAGTTGGATTGAGGAATTAAAAACCTTAATATTTTTTTTGGTTCCACAATTAAAAGTGTCTGGATCAACTTATGCGTATTTTGACTACGGCTAATAATCGAACTGAGCTTGACTCGTTTTCAACTTGCTAAACAAATAAAATTAAATAATTTTTTAAATTCGTTTATAAAACAAACTCGACAGGCTTGGTTTGAACTTGATAGATTTGACTCTTGTTTGAGTAAAAGTTTAAACTCAGTTTTTATAAGTTGAAATATAATCAAATGAATTTCAAATAAATTATTTTTATCTTTTTTTTATACTTAAAACAATGAATCATTGAGAACAAACAATATTTTCAAATTATATAATATAATACGAGCAATAAAATATAATTTTGATAAACTTGAAATAATATTTAATGTAGGTACATATATACCTAATACTTTTTATTAATATTTTGTATATAAAAATTATTCACGTACAACGCACGTGGTGTATTATTAGTGTATAAAAATAGGTATATCACCACATTTTGATCATGGTAGAAATAACTTAAACATCTAAGGAAATCACTAGAGATAGAGAATTGTAAATTCAAAAAGAATAGGAATCACAAAATTTATCAAAATTGAGTATTGACTTATATATATCATATCGGATCAAAATCAAATATATCAAAACGCAAATTGAAAGCAGTTCAATCACCCCACTACGAATTAAAGGTTGTTAAAACTCCACACTTTAGCAATGACCAGCAACATATTCTCACTTTCCATCCTAAGAAATTTCAAGAGAAAATTTCTCACCTTGAAAATATGAAAAACAAATTTAATAAAGTAAAATTTTGAAAAGAGTTCACTGTCAAAGCATCTAATTCAAATCAATTGGCTGTGAGTAGAGTGACCTTTGAGTATAGAAAACACTCTAGACGAACGTAATTATTTGATGTGACATACGAGATCTCTTACTATCCTCCATCACGTGAAACCTTGACTTGCATGAGGGTCAACAACACAAGCAAACAACTATTCATACTTACATATTCAAATGGACAGGAGGCTTAACATATTCAACTAACACTCCTTGGATTTTGATCATATTTCATTGACATGCCCTCTGATTTTTGTAAACCCCAATAGTTTGTATATGTATTTCACGAACTACCTTATCATCACTCTCGTTACTAACAATAAAAAAAGTATGATGTGACTGCATATTTCCTTACGAATTAGATACTTACTCTTAGCTCTCTAAACAGAACAAGATTACACCACCATATAATGAAATTGAATATTAAGAAGGTGTTATCTTGATAAAATAAATTGACTATTAATTTAGTGTCAATTTATTGTCGATTGATGAAATTAAACATAAATTTGATGCTAAATAATAAGAGCAATGTTATTGGGACCAATGGAGTGATAGTGAAATGCATTTAATACTGGGGTCTCACCATTAAATACATGAGCAATGCTATTGGGACATAATTTGGAGACACAATAAGTTGTCACCAATGAAATAATAATAAATTCATTTAATGCTGCAATGAGACCCATCATTAAATATAATTCACTGTCATTTCATTTGTGACAACTCATTATGTCCACAAATTATGTCCATAAATTATGTCCCAATAGCATTAGTGTAAATACATTCCACTATCATAAATTGATCACAATTCATTATGTTCATAAATTATGTCTCAATAACATTAGTGAATTAATAAACTAACATCAATTTGATGAAATTGAATATTAATTTAATAAAATTAAATTTTAAATTGATACAATTAAATATTAAATTCGGTGTTAATTCACAAAATTGAATAAAATAAAATTAAAAATTAATTTGACATAACTTAAGGTTAATTTCATGTTGATTAGATAAAATTGAATACTAATTTAAAGTTAATGTAATGAAACTAAAGGTTAATTTGTGTTAATTTAATAAAATCTAATCACCCATTATCAGCGTCCACCCGCCCTATAAATATAGCTTGATACACTCCCATTCCCAACGGAAAAAAAACCAACCGCCTCTCTCTTTTTTGAAACATCCGCCTCTCTCTCTGGAAACCTCCCTCTTCGTTTCTCTCAAACAGGAGCTCACTCACCCTGCAACGGCCGAGACCGCCGCTGTACCAATTACCATTCCTCCGATTACCACCGCCGCGGTACCAATTACCCCCGCCGCGGTACCAATTGTCACCGCCGCTGCCACACTACCAACCCATAACCACCGCGGCCACCTCTGGGACCACCACCCCTGGCTTGTCGACGGGGACTCCGTTGGGCCAGTGACATTGATGGCCATCGGATTTGATCGCCGATTGGGGGACTTCGCCTTCTCCGTAGGGTCTGATGAGCCCATAGCCCCATCTGGTCGTTGAAGCGGACCACCTTGCCCAATGATCTAGGGTTTCTTCCTCGAAAGAAACGGTTCTGCCGCCATTGCCAAATAATTTATGGCTCGGAAACAAATTCTTATCTTGCCCTAACTCGTTTGAAAGGTGAGTGGATTAAAGATTTCTGAAATCTTTTGTTATCTGTTGTTCCTTTTTGTTCGGGTTATTAATTGATCTTTTCGTATTAAATTGGATTCTTAGGGTTTCGTTCAATCGCTTTTAGTGCTTAAATATTTCTATTTTCTTGAAAATAAGAATTTGTTGTTTGTCTCTCATTCATAAGTAAAGAGCTGGTTTCCTATTCTTATCCCTGTCTTGCGGTGTCAACTCATTTATTTTGTTTCTTGAATTTCTTTTTGCTGATTGTTGTGTTTCTTGAATTTATTTTCACAGATTATTTTCTTTCTTCAATTCTCTCTCTCCATCTGTGCGCGTGTATAGATCGATTTTTTCGGTAGTTGGAACCTTAACGAATCATGATCAAATGATGAAAGGTTTACCACACTAACAGAGGGAGACAGTTCAGATGCACAAATTTAACTGATTATGCGTTTTAAGGCATGAAATTGTCAACTTGTAAATGAGTTTTTGGTGAAGACTAAATAAGTTTTTGAACTAAATTGTTTTTTAACTCACAGGAGGAAAAAAGTTTTGCATGACGGTTGATACACGGACTCAGCAGGAGCCAGAATCCATGCTTGCGGCAATGTTCCGTGTTCGCCACACTATCTGCCAGGATTCTGAGAAGGTATATATGCACACACAAATACGCCCATAGTCTACATTTGGTAAAAGTCTATTGTATTGTTTAAGGTATTGTTTGTGTATTTATTTCCTTTTAATACGTCTACTTTTTTCTAATCAGCTATTGTATTATGTCTACTGTGCTGTTCACATATTAGTTTCCCCTATAATAGGGTGATTTCTGGTTTTTTTTGGCTCCCATTACTCCGCCAAATGTGCATCCTATTTCTTCCCTTGGGTTTTCTCCCTCTTTATTGTTGTGGTATGGTTGGTTTGGTTGCTGATCTGAGTTTCTTTGAAGTAGGGGACTGGGCATACAACACTCAGAAAGAGAGAGCAAAAGCTGCTAACATTCCCAGAATTCGCCTTCTTGGGCTATCTGACTTTAGTAAGAAGCTGAAATGACCATCTTTCTTCGCCTTAATTTTCCAAACTTGTATGTAGAATCTACCAATTACTCACGTCATGGAAACAAAACACTTTTTGGCAAACTGTTAGTCTCTGAAGAAGGAGGGAACGCCGTATTGCATGAGTTGTTGGTATCATATACACACACACACACAAATATCTGTATATCTCTAATTCCTAGGCTATAGGATACATAAGTGTTTCATTTGCCATTTATTATCCTCTCTTTGCTTGATTGCAGTTCGCCTCCTTATTAATGTTTTACCTAACCTTTAAGTGCTTAGCATTTCTTTGATAATATTTTTCTATCATAGAAATTATATTTTATTTATTTTTCTATTTTCTTTCTATTAAATTGTTAAATGTTTGAAACAAATTGAATTATTTGAAAAGAGAGCAAAAGGATAACGCATGGAAGAACATTAGGAGTTTGTAGCATGTAGAAGATACCAAAAAAACATAGAATTCAAAGAGATTTAGGCCTTAGGGCTTGGGGCTTAGGGCTTTTAGGGTTTTGGGTCAAGGTTTAGGGGTTTAGAGGTTTGGGGTAGGGTTACGGGGATAAGGGCTAAGAGTTAAGGTTTAGGGATTAGAGATTTGGGTTTATTGTTATTTTGCTTCTTTTGCTTCACCTCCTCATCATTTTCCTCCTATTTTTGTCTCTTGTTGTTTATTTAGATTTTGATATTTATGTACGTAACAAATCTATTTTGTGTTTTGATTTCAGTTGTTTGTAGAATGGATGTTTACTTATGAAAGATTAAGAAGAGTTGAACTAGATAAGTTTGCAAAGCGAGCTTATGATTGAAAAGATAAGTATACTTATTCGTCCAAGTTTCGTTGACTTTCTTTTATATGTAAAATATGTTTTACACTTGACTATTTCTACTTGTTTTTTGTGTTTCTTGTTTATTATGATCATTCTTTCTATGGTTTTTATCCCCCAACACTCTCATATCCGATAGGTTTCTTTTCATTTTTCGTTGTTATTTTCATGTTTTACCTAACCTTTAAGTGCTTAGCATTTCTTCGATAATATGTATTTTGTTCGCTTTTGTATTATAGAAATTATGTTTTATTTCTTTTTTTATTATCTTTCTATTAAATTGTTAAATGTTGGAAAGAAAATTGAATTATTTGGGAGAGAACAAAAGGATAACGCATGGAAGAACATTAGAAGTTTGTAGCATGTAGAAGATGCTAATAGAACATAGAATTCAAAGAGGGTTTAGGGCTTGGGGCTTATGGCTTTTGGGGTTTAGATGTTAGAGGTTAGGGGTAGGGGGTTGCGGGGACAAGGGCTAAGAGTTAAAGGTTTAAGAGGTTTAGGGGATAGGGATTTGGGTTTATTGTTCTTTTGCTCCACCTTCTCATCATTCTTCTTCTATTTTTTTCTCTGATTGTTTTTTTGTTGTTCTTTAGATTTTCATATTTATGTGCCTAATAAATCTATTTTGTGTTTTGATTTCAGTTGTTTGTGGAATAGATGTTTGCTTATAGAAACTTATGTTTTATTTCTTTTTTTTTTATTATCGTTCTATTAAATTGTTATATGTTGGAAACAAGTTTAATTATTTGGAGGGGAGCAAAAGGATAAAGCATGGAAGAACATTATGAGTTTGTAGCATGTAGAAGATATTAATAGAACATAGAATTCAAAAGAGTTTAGGCCATAGAGCTTGGGGCTTAGGGCATTTGGTGTTTTGGGTTAAGGTTTAGGGTTTTAGGTGTTTAGAGGTTAGGGGTAGGGGTTGCGGGGACAAGGGCTAAGAGTTAAGGTTATAAAGAGTTAGGGGATAAAGATTTGGTTTATTGTTCTTT